ACAAAAAGAAAAAGAATTCAAAACAGTTCACAACTCTTGATCAGCTAACTTCGAGTGACAAAGAAAGCTCCGAGTGGTTCGTATCCATCGAGCACGAATGCCAGAAGGTTCAGAACGGCTCATAACCGGCGAGATCAAGAATCCTGAGAAAAGGAGTAACCGGCTAGCTTAGCACAACGGCCAGCGAGAGCGAGGGAGTGCCTTCGCCCATAACATGGTGTAGCCAGCTGACCATTGAGCACAACGAAAGTTCACTGACAGACCGGCTAGTTCTACTAGGACCTCGAAGATGACCCGCGGAAATAGAGCGACCGGCGAACCACGAGCTCGAATGAGCTCTGGGTCTGTCGCCCGTTTTTAGCCAGCGAGCCTCCCTGAGGAATTCGTCACCAGCTGTATCAGCGAGCTAGCTCACGATTAGGCAAAAGCCCCGTGTCCCGCGAGCTCGTCCGAAGGGCTCGTGCCCCGTAACCGGAGAGCCGTCTTCTGACAAACGCGTAGCCAGGCTAGATCCCAGTGACTGGCGAGCCTCGTGAATGAAGAACAAGCTTGCAAGGAGCAGCGCCTGGGGGACCTTGGACGAAGAGCAAGATCGTGGCTGGTCGGACGATCAGTGATCTTAGTGACAACGAATCGGGCGCGTAATTGAGCGGATGCCGGCAAACTCAGTTGAAGTGCTTCGCAGCCGAGAACGACCGGCGGGACCGCAGATACTCGGACACGCATGAGCAGTGGACGCGCAGCGAAGAAGTTACGAACTTGGCGACTGTGACGGCCCTCTCGCCTTTTTCTCGCTCTCTTCAACTCTCTTTCCGCCGACGCCGGTCCCTCCTCTTTCTCTCTCTTCCTTCCTCTTTCTCTGCCTCGCCCACTTCCGCTCGCCGCGAAGTATCACCGTGCCACCCCGACCTTTCTTCTCCCCCCCCTTCTCCCTCTCTCTCTCCTTCTCTTTCTCTCTTTCACTCTTTTTTCCCCCTTCTCTCTCTCCCTTCCTTTTTCTCCCTCGCTCTTGCCCTCGCTCTCGCTCTCTCTCTCCCTCCCTCCCTTCTCTCTTCCTCTCCCTCCCTCTCTCTCGAAGGCCTCCGTGTCGAGTTCGTCTTCGGCGCCCCTGTGCGTCCTCCCGTATCCGGTGCAACCCCCGTCCCTCTTCTCCTTCCCGCGACCTCGCCCGAACCCGGGCCTTGCCCAGGGCCAAGCTCTAGTGTGCGAATAAGCGATGGCAGAGGCTCGCAGATGCAGCTCGAGCCCTAGGCGTCGACATGCGCTTTGGTTTCGCTGTTCCCCTCCCCTCAGTAGCTCCCGAAGGCTCGAGGTTTTCTCGATCACGGACTTCCCTCCCGTGCGTGCGAGCCGCTGCCTCATGCCCGTCTCCGGTGCGTAACGAATCTCTCTCTCTCTCTCTCTCTCTCTACTCTCTCTCTCTCTCTCTCTCTCTCTCTCTCTCTCTCTCTATATATATATATATATATATATATATATATATATATCGTGGCGTGCGCAACCGAGCTCGCCTCCCCTTAACGAGCAGCCTTCCGATCTTGGCTCTCGCAGCCCGAACTCCGAGCTCCTGTTTGTGCGCAACGCGCATGCACTACCCTCAAGCGCTCCCGCGAGCTTCCCGTGCGCTTCCCCATACACCCCTCCGTGCTCGTCGTACATCTCCCCGCACATCCCACCGTGCTCTTCGTGCCTCTCCCCGCACATCCCACCGTGCTCTTCGTGCATCTCCCCGCACATCCCACCGTGCGCTACGAACTCCTCTCGCACGAGGCTCAGCGCTCTCACGTGCGCTTCGTGCGCTATCTTTGCCTCTCTCGACAAGATCCCCCCTTTTCTGTCTCCTCCTCTCCTCCCTTTAGACTCCTCTGGTCGGCATCGACCAGGTGCTCGTCCACCAGCACTGGTTCGTTTGCCTTAGTCAGATCCCCCTTTTCTGGCCCCTTCTCCCGACATTCTCTCTTGCTACTGTGCACGCACGCGCCCTTCAAGAAGACCAGAGGTAGTTATCAAGAACTGCCTCTCTACTCACACCCGTTCACCAACGAGCCTTTCCCGTTTTCCTTTCCCCTGCCGTGCTCCCTGCACCTTCCCTCTCCCCTGGGCCAGATACATCCTCTTCAAAATTCGACCCCCTTCCCGCTCGTTCGCCCTTAATGGCTAGATGAGGCTCCCGAATCGTCTGTCCCCAGCAAAGTTCAAACGCAGGCCTATATTTCAACTGGCCTAAATGTATCTGACCCCCAAGCCGAGGTATGTTCTTCTCTCAATTTCACCTCACACTACCTACCTACCACTACTCCCAATTGTAGGCATACAGGGAACCCTGCAGCAGCCAGAACCTTTTTCACGAGAGAACATGCAGGGGCCGTGCCGACCAGCAGGTGGGTGATACCTACCAGGGGATAGGCGGTAGTCACCAAAGACCACGCCAACAGGACCAAACCCTTTTCCCAAGTTCCCTATTGTTTTCATGCTTCCCCGACGATACAGTGGCGGCACCCATGTCACCCTACTTGTATGGCCGCTCGGCAACACTGTACGACCAACCGCTGATGCATTGCCCAAACCTCCAAGAGCCGCGTCGACTGCATGTCGTGCGGTGTGGCCCTGACGACCATCAAGAAGGCCCGAGTCGCAAAAGATGGTGCCCAATAACTATAGCAGAGACTTATGGTAAAACTAGTCGTTGTCGACGCCCGCGGATGGATCCTTCCACCGTCGTTATTTGACCCTCGCCCCCACACGTTGTCACCCACCATCGCCTTGTCGTCCCAAACCCCACTGGATAGGAAATCGGGTACCCCCAAGCCCCATCTTTCTGCCGCCTGTACACCGTTCCCCCACACCTCACGCAAACTCCTCCGCATATGCCTCGCAAACCCAAACTCAACCGAAACCCCCCAAGCATAAGTAGACAAAACCCCCAAACAAGCGAAAATAACCAATCGCATAGACACAAACAGACGCAAAAAATTAAAAAAAAGGCTCGACTGGTAGGCAGCCGCCCGACACCACTGCGTGGGCCGGATATACCGAGGTGCTCTGACGACGGAGACGCTTCTAGAGAAGACACCGTCTCGCATTTCTGTAATGCGATATGAAAAATCGACAGAAATGTCGTTTGCCACTCGCGGTGCCACAAGATGGCGTGCGCATCCCGTGGCCAATCGTCACAACGTAGATCCAACTCTTTCCATCCAGTAGCCTCTGCTAGACTCCCTGCCCATGTCAAACACTCTCAACTATTACGATACGCGATGTCTCTCATGTTGAATCTCGGGTCTGTGAGAAGTGACAAGAGAGCATCTATGTCGCTCTGCAACATACCGACGCCGCCCCTGGCGCAGAAAATCAGTGTCGCCAACTTGCGAGAGCTATCAAAAGACTCGACAGGCTGAGGTTGCTGCTCTTCAAATGTCCCGCCCTCCCCGTCTACATTCTCGGGGGCCCCGACGTCCTCGCTCTCATCGCTTACGAGATTCATTGCACCTATACTTGATGGTCCGGCGTCATCGACCACATCCATTTCCTGCCCATGTGTTCTTTTGTCCACCACGGCCAGGCATGCCCTCGCACGATGTGAGTTCAAAATTCGTAATGGCATGAAAGGCTTGCCACAGTCGCACACCCGTGGACCGCTGTCCATTTTCTATGCACGCAGTGCATTCCAAAAATAAACAGAGCGGTGCGGACAGTGTTTTGATCAACATTTTGTACATTGGTTCAGGTCGTTTGAATTATAAGTTGCAGAGCATATTTTGTTATATTATGTAAGTGTCACACATCCTCTTCTCTAGGAGAAAGACATAGAGAGGGAGTACTGATTGCCCTTTTTCGTACGAATGGTCTGTGTTGCTGATCCCAATTGACAAAGATTAGTAGTCAACCGTGCGACACGATAATTTATATGCCATGACAGGTTCTATGGTCGTGTAGGAAGAGGCAACGACTTACGCATGATACACGATATATGACACAACATTCATCACCAGGTTTGTGCGGCTGCCCAAGTTCGCAACTATCCTTCCCCGACGTTTGTGAATGTGGTATGTGTTTTCCATATCCGCGTAAAAATGATTGCACGTCGGCACCTCAGCCGACCTCCGCAACCACTTCCAAAATATTTCACAACCTAGTACATTTGAATTTAAATTACAAAGAATGCAAAAAAAAAACACAACATACACACATTGGTCATCACAGGGGTCTGATGTGTCTCGCGTACTCTAAAAGGCAACAAATTATGACATACATCGTAATAATCATCAAATTATTGAAATATTGTTCAATCCTGTGTCTGCACGCTGTAGTGAACCGCATATACTTGAAGAGGCAAACAACAGGCAGCATGACACAGAACCCGCAGATGGATGTACAAGTTCTAATATAGCTACAACTCGACATATGACAAAGAGAGACAAGGAGAGAGAGAGAGAGAGAGAGAGAGAGAGAGAGAGAGAGAGAGAGAGAGAGAGAGAGAGAGAGAGAGAGAGAGAGAGAGAGAGAGAGNAGAGAGAGAGAGAGAGAGAGAGAGAGAGAGAGAGAGAGAGAGAGAGAGAGAGAGAGAGGTTCACTAGTGCGGGTCAGAACGACAACAAACAGCACCGGTGGACACTGATATGACACGCAGAAGTGAACCCGACCGTCGTTGAAATTGAGGCAGACATAGAGGGATGTATAGGTTGAGAGATGTACAGGTTGAGCTTCCCATGCGTATCAAAACGTATGTGCACTGGTTGTTTGTACTACCACTCTTAGACTATTGCTCTATGTTATTCATGTCTGTCATCATCCCTGATGTCCAGCTATTCTGTCGTAGTGTGTGGGTGTGTCTCCGGTCGCTGCCGTGACCAAGCACTAACTATTGCATCTCCTGTTGACAAGCCGAGGTGCAATGTCTCTCCCCAAGCTGTCGCTAGTGCGCCGTGTACGGGGCAACTCAGGTTGACTCCCCATGTCAGTGACGTTGCTAGCACAGCCTCTCTATTGACCAGAACAAACCATCCCTTGCCAACACGTGACCACTTTTTCCTCTTGTTTCATGATTTCATTATGCTGGTCATTGCGGCATATTGTCGTGCATCATCTGGTATTGCCCACTTCATCACAACACGCAACAGTTTGTGCGGATCGGGAAAAGCACGTGCCAACCTCAGAATTGCATGTACCCACCCTTTTGTCACTTGTCCACCCGCCCCCTTCAAATCATAGTATACATAATGTTCCTCGTCTTCCTCGTCGCTGCTGACATCGTTGTTTCTCACTTCCACGTCAGAAGATGATGCCCCCTCATCCTCTTCTTCGTCTTCTTCTTCTGCACTGTCTGTGTACTCTGCACAACAACTTGGCAAATCGACCTCTTCAAATCCACGATCACACTGTTCTTTCTCCATTGTGAAATCATTGAAGATATCGAAATACACTAACTCCTCTCTCGTTGTTGTCTGCATAGGAGACACATCGACTGCCATACTGGTTATTGATTCTTGTGCTGCTGATGTCTGTCCGTTGTTTGGAATGATTGCTAAATTTGTTTTCCTGAACATCACCTTCCACCCTTCTTCTCTTTCTCTTTGTCTCTCAACATCGCAACTTGCAAGACCGAGCCGCTCCAAAGCAGTTGATAATAACTCCCCCCACAATAGTCTGCCAGATATGATGTTGTCTTCTGTTCTTGCTGGCACAAATTCTATCAAATCTTGACCCTGTTGTGCAAACTCTATGACTTTGTGCAACGCCTCATGGATGACGTTCCTGTCGTCGACACTCTTTTTAATGAAGTCCACAAGTTGATCCAGCAGAATATATTTCACACCATCTGCAACAATGACAAAAACATCTTGAAAGTCTTCTGGCGGTGTTTGTGTAATGTTCTTCATTCTGGACAACACCAATATTTCTGCAGCACCACTCTCCAACTCGTCTTTTGACCCATCAACCAGCATTCCCCCATTCCATGCCACAGTGGTCAGTAACTTCTTGAAATCCGCAGGTCTATATGTCCGCACTTTCTGCTGCATTGTCATGTGCACGTCTCCTTCTTCACACATCCCTTCGCTGCGCATCCACAGGACCACTCCTTTTAGACTGTATGCACTGTCTTCCACATCGTTGTCCACATGTACATGTGGTAATATCTCTAAAGCATTGCAAGAGTGTTCGTGCTATGACACAACCCTCGCAGTTTGCCATGATCATGGATCTCATATCCATAGGGACTATGAAGTACCTTGACACCCTGTCCTGAAGCAAAGACAACTCACTGTCACCGTTGTAGTGGACGCTCTCCTTTACATACTTCATTACCTCTGCAAGAGCAGCCTCCACCTATGCTACTGACATCGACATGATGCATACGGTTGGTCTGTCGTCCTCTTCTCTCTGCCAGCGGAAACACACAATGATGTCATCGACATGTGTGTGTGTGTGTGTGTGTGGCGTCTATGTATGAACCTATGTGGATGTTTGTGTGTCTTTGTGTATATGTCTATGGATGTGTGTGTATGAATGGTCTGTGCGTGTGTCTTCGTGTCTGTTCTTAAGTTGGCTACTGCGTGCCATTCGAAGTCTCAACGTTCATCATTCATCAGTTTCTGGCACGCAGTAGCCAACTTTAAGGGTGCATGCCAGAATGTGTTTGTGTGTGTGTGTGTGTGTGTGTGTGTGTGTGTGTGTGTGTGTGTGTCGTCTATGTATGAACCTACGTGGATGTCCGTGTGTCTTTGTGTATATGTCTATGGATGTGTGTGTATGAATGGTCTGTGCGTGTGTCTTCGTGTCTGTTCCCAAGTTGGCTACTGCGTGTCATTCGAAGTCGCAACAGTCATCATTCGTAAGTTTTTGGCACGGAGTAGCCAACTTTAAGGGTGCATGCCAGAATGTGTGTGTGTGTGTGTGTGTGTGTGTGTGTGTGTGTGTGTGTGTCTTTCTGTATATGCCAGTGTGTGTGTGTGTGTGGGTCTTTCTGTATATTCCTGTGTGTGTGTGTGTATTTGTTATGCGTGTTTGCTTGTGCATGTGTTAGTGTGTGCGACTTCAGGTTGGCTACTGCGTGCCATTTGAAATCACAACGGACCTGTGTGGTCTGTGTATGGCACGCAATAGCCAACCTGACAGACGGACAGACAAACAGACAGACAGCCAACAGACACACAGACAGTCAGACACACAGGCAGACAGATACACAGATGGACAGACAGAAAGACAAACAAACGGACAGAGAGACAGACAAACACACTGCCTGACTGCCTGCCTGACTGACTGACCAGACAAGGCGACAAACAGACAAACTGACAAACATACACAAGGACAGACAGACACACGGACAGACAGACAAGCAGACGAATGGACAGACAAATAGACAGACAGACAGACAAACAGACAGACAGACAGAAGTCATTGAACTTACTGATTTTGATTGTGGTTCATCCACTTACAGACCAGATAGACAGACACACAGGCAGACAAACAGACAGACAGAAAGATAGACAGACAAATTAGGAGACAGACAGACCAGACAGATAGATAGACAGACAAATAGATAGACAGACCAGATAGATAGACAAACAGACAGATAGATAGACAGACCAGATAGATAGACAAACCAGATAGACAGACAGACCAGATAGACAGACAGACCAGATAGACAGACGGACTAGATAGACAGACAGACCAGATAGATAGACAGACCAGATAGATAGACAGACCAGATAGATAAACAAACCAGATAAATAGACATTCCAAATACATAGACAGACCAGATAGACAGACATATAGATAGACAAACCAGATAGATAGACAGACCAGATAGATAGACAGATAGATAGACAGACCAGATAGATAAACAAGATAGATAGATAGATAGATAGACAAACCAGATAGATAGACAGACCAGATAGACAGATAGATAGGTAGATAGATAGATAGACAGATAGATAGATAGATAGATAGACAGATAGATAGACAGATAGATAGACAGATAGGTAGAAAGACAAGATAGACAGACCAGATAGATAGACATACAAGATAGACAGATAGACCAGATAGACAGATAGACAACCATACCAGATAGATAGACAGACAGACAGATACACAAACAGATTAGGAGACAGATAGACCAGACAGACCAGACAGACCAAATAGACAAATAGATAGACAGACCAGACAGACCAGATAGATAGACAGACCAGATAGACAGACAAGCAAGATAGAAAGACAGACCAGATAGACAGACAGACGAGATAGACGGACAGACCAGATAGACAGACTGACCAGATAGATAGACAGACCAGATAGGCAGACAGATAGATGACAGACCAGATAGATAGACATACTAGGTAGATAGACAGATAGATAGACAGATAGATAGACAAATAGATAGACAGATAGATAGACAGACCAGATAGATAGACAGACCAGATATATAGACAGATAGATAGACATACCAGATAGATAGACAGACCAGATAGATAGACAGACCAGATAAAAAGATAGATAGATAGACAGATAGATAGACAGAGAGATAGACAGATAGACAGACAAACCAGATAGACAGACCAGATAGACAGACCAGATAAATAGATAGATAGATAGATAGATAGATAGATAGATAGATAGATAGATAGATAGATAGATAAAGAGACCAGATAGATAGACAGACCTGATAGATATACAAACCAAATAGATAGAGAGATAGATAGACAGACCAGATAGATAGATAGACCAGATAGATAGACAGACCAGATAGATAGACAGATAGATAGACAAACCAGATAGACAGACAGACCAGATACATAGACAGAAAGACAGATACACAGACGGATTAGGAGACAGACAAACCAGACAGACCAGATAGACAGATAGATCGACAGACCAGACAAACCAGATAGATAGACAAGACAGACCAGATAGACAGACAAACCAGAGAAATCAGATGGACAGATAAATAAATATATAGATAGGCAGACAAACCAGATAGACAAATAGATAGATAGATAGATAGATAGATAGATAGATAGATAGATAGATAGATAGATAGATAGACAGATAGATAGATAGATAGATAGATAGACACACCAGATAGCTAGACACACCAGATAGATAGACACACCAGACAGATAGACACACCAGATAGATAGACAGATCAGATAGATAGACATACCAGATAGACATATAGATAGATAGACAGGTAGATAGACAGATAGATAAACAGATAGATAAACAGATAGATAGACAGATAGATAGACAGATATATAGACAGACCAGATAGATAGACATATAGATTGACAGACCAGATAGATTGACAAACCAGATAGATAGACAAACCAGATAGATAGACAGACCAGATAGATAGACAGGCCAGATAGATAGACAGACGAGATAGATAGCAAACCAGATAGATAGAAAGACCAGATAGATAGACAGATAGATAGACAGACCAGATAGATAGATAGATAGATAGATAGACAGATAGATAGACAAATAGATAGACAGATAGATAGACAGATAGATAGACAGACCGGATAGATAGACAGACCAGATAGATAGACATACCAGATAGACAGACAGACGAGATGGACAGACAGGCCAGATAGATAGACAGACCAGATAGATAGACAGACAGATAGATACACAGACAGATTAGGAGACAAATAGACCAGACAAATTAGGAGACAGACAGACTAGACAGATAGATAGAGAGACAGACGAGACATACAGATGAGACACACAAATAGACACACAAATAGACACACAGACAAACACACAGACAAATAGACGGATTAGTAGATAGAGAGACAAATGAGGAGACAGATAGACCAGACAGACAGACACACAGAACGACAGACATACAGACATACAGACATACAGACAAACAGACAGACATACAAACAAACAAAGACACAGACAAGAAGAAAGAAAGAAAGAAAGAGAGAAAGAAAGAAAAAAAGTGAAAGAAAGAAAGAAAGAAAGAAAGAAAGAAAGAAAGAAAAAAAAAAAAAAAAAAAAAAGGAAAGAAAGACAGAAAAAAAAAAAAAAAAAAAAAAAAAATTAAACATGTTAGACAAAGAAAGAAAGAAAGAACGAAAGAGAAAGAAAGATAAAGAAAGAAAGAGACAGACAGACAGACAGACACACAGACACACAGACACACAGACACACAGGCAGACAGGCAGACAGACAGACAAACAGACGGAGAGACAGATAGACAAACAGACTGACGGACTGACTGACTGACTGACCAGACAAGGCGACAGACAGACAAACTGACAAACAGACAGACGAACAGACAGACGAACAGACACAAAGACAGACATACAAACCAGAGCAGACCAACAGACAGATGGACAAACAGACAGACATACACAACAGACAGAGCAGACAGACCACATAACTGCTTTGTGTTGTTCATGCATATCTTTGACCTATGCGGATTTCTTCCTGCAGTTGAGATTCGTCAATGCAACATAGACGATGTTCATCCATTCAACATTATTATTGTTCTTTCTTGTTTGAATAAGAGGGGAGGAAGCAGGATTCGGAATCACCTTTTTTTCTCTCTCTCCCCTCATGTTTAAACATTTCTTTTTGCAATTGGACGCCATTGAATTTTCTGTCGATTGAACACTCCGAAATTGGTCAGGACCGCAACACAGAATAGACAGACAGACGGAGAGTGGGAAAGAGAGAAGCGCGTATACAAGTGGAAGAGGGAGAAGAGGGGTCGATGCTAACAAACCAAGCATATAAATTACAGGTCACTGGATGAAAGAATGTAGAGCAAGAGAAAGAAAACAACAAACACACTTAGTGCACACTCACATACGGATACTGTGATGGTTTGCGCACATGTCCACAACAACAGAACAGACACACAATGGGACCTCCACCAACCCCGTGGTAAGAAAAGCAACGACAACAACCCCTAATTCAACGACTGACCTACTACCCAATTTTCGTAGACGCACAACGCACCACACACCAACAAACCTACACAACCGTTCAAACGGCAAACATCTACGAGCGCATTTTGGTAAAGATCCAAAGTACATGCATTTACATGGAAACCTACAGTAAGTGGACCAAAGGCTAGGACACACATTAGATAGACCTCCGGGTGCCTACGAGTCTTCAGAAGGGCGGAAACGAAAAAAACTACAAGGCTGAAAGGCCTGGGACTACGAAAGTTGAGACAACTGCCAATAGGTTCCGCCGTTGGAGCCCACCGAAAGACCCATCATTCGGAAAGAAAGAAAGAAACTTGAAGAAAGGAAGAAGAAAAAAATGAAAATGAAAAAAAAAAACAAAAACAAAGTAAGAAAGAAAGAAAGGAGAACAAGAAAAAAACAAACATATATATGGGGTTCACTACTGCGGGTCAAAATCAGCGACAGAGTCGTCCTTCAATACCTTCATGTCCCCCCACTAGTGAACCTGATCTCTCTCTCTCTCTCTCTCTCTCTCTCTCTCTCTCTCTCTCTCTCTCTCTCTCTCTCTCTCTTTCTCTCTCTCTCTCTCTCTATCTATCTATCTATCTATCTATCTATCTATCTATCTTTATCTCTCTCTCTCGCTCTCTCCACCTATTCAACCCATCTAACACCACGAAGACTTCCACGAAGTCCACGATTCGACAGGACAACCGTTATGCAGCACACACAGTAGAATTCTCAAGCTGCCTTTTTTTTCGCGGACCCCCCTTACGAAGCACTGCTTTCCTCTTCTTCGCCCCTGCTCTGCTGCCATCCCTTTCCGCCTGTCTGGCCTCCATCCGTTGCTGTCTCTCCTCAGCTCTCGCCTTCTCGTCCAACATACCTTGATATTTTTCAACCCAGCGAGGCTTTGACAACCTATCCACCAGTCTCATGTCCCTGACCTGGATCGTCACCCTCTTCGAATGGATGGCCACCTCGTTGGTGTTCTCGAAATTGGCGACCACGTACGCCTCGGCGGCCTCCATCAAAGCACGCACCGCCGTCATCTGAAACCTCAAGTCCATACCCGGAGCAATGTCCTCCTCCACAACCTCGCGCACGAGCCGCAAAAACGGCCTGAAAGCCAAGCAAAGGTCGGTGGATCGTTGCGACTTTCTGATTTCCGACAAAGTTGCCATCCCGGGGTATCGACGACGTCTGGGGACCTGAGTTCGTGCGCCTGCGGTGTCTCCGGTCGCTGGCACCGCCTTGGGGTTCACCTTCTTTCTGCCTGCGGGCATCTGCCCACGTGGCGGTCCCGACATGCACTTCTTCATCTTCCCCGGGCTCTGCGACATCGCGACATCGCTCGGGCCAGCCATGTCACCCTGTGCTGCAGACCACCCTCCGACGCGACCAGGACCACATGGGCCCTCCACCTCATCTGACAAACGAGAAATTTCTGAGCGCTTCTCTCTCCTCTTGCCTGGCTGCGTTGAACCTGCCAAGTCATTCTCCGACAGATACCGAATGTCTCGCAGGAGTCCATCTCAGTAGGTCAGATGAAAAGGCACACCAAGCGGGTCTCTGAATCTCATGGTGACGTCTCCACCATGCTCATATGTCATGGGACAAACGACCGAGACCCAACCAAGAACGGTCGTGCAACCGTGCCTGCGGCGAATGTGAGCCGTGTATCTGTTCTGACCGTCGCCGTGCTCTTGGCCTGTACAACTCCCCTCAACCATGGACCACATCCCCAAGTCAGCCATGGAGTCATAACCCGCGCACACCATCCGACGCTCCTCCTCCCTTATTTTCCCCCAGCAGCGCTTTGCGTGTTTAACCACAAGCACGTGGTCCTTTATATTCACATTGAAAATTGAGACACGTTGTGAGGAAACCCGGGGAGGGGCGCCTACTGTTCGCTGAAGCCAAGGCCAACAACGCCTGTCACTCGCTGCGCCCGCTTCCGAGGTCCTCAGCGATCAGTAGGGGATAGTGTTCCGACTGTCTCCCAAGCGTCCACTGTAGCGGGTTTAAGAATTCTCCTTTTCACCTTGTCAAACAACCATTACTAAGCCAGAACCAAATGAACAGGGATGCTTCGTAAAGTTGATATCTGCTCAACCCTTGAAGGTCTTTTAATTTCTCTGATTCGTTGGACTAAAGATACAATTATTGCCCATAGGCTTGTACTTAGGAGTTTGCTCGAGCGAAGGGCAATTTGACAAAATGAAATACACGGAAGCGCGCCAGTGAGTAAGAGTTAATAATAATTCAGCACAATCAACACCTCTTTGAATGCACTGTATGAGTGTCCGCCAATAGACAGAGAATACCTGATTACCTTATGAAAAGTCGATCTGCCAATGATAATTGTTGATCTGCCCTTTAACAAAGACTGCTTGACCAGTCAATGGGCGGAGAGTATTCGACCTGTGAATGTCTGTTTGATCAGCCAATAGGCAGGCAGTGATTGACCTGCTAATGCGAAGTGGCTGATCTTTTTTTTTTTTTTTATGCAAGAGCGCAAGGCCTGAATTGGTTCTCATGTGGAAACGACTCCAACATGAGATCTGAGCCGCTAACCCCTTCTTTTTACACTTGGTTGAGGGAAGCCAGGGGAGGCTCCCCCATACCAGCAGTTCGTGTACTCTTCACACGCCCATCAAACTCAAACTCAGGCAGGCAGCATGATCAGGCAGCTTAGCCCTCAAGCATCCACTTGGGCGCATGCATCCAAGAAACTCACAAAAATTTTTTTGGTTGGCTCGCCATCCCCAACTCGTGAGTGCTAGCCAAAATTTCATAAAATAAACAAAATTATAGTTCCAATTAAGCACTAGGCAATATAGGATCCAGTTGCCCCCAGCCAATTGGTTCCTTGCGCTTACCCGATGAGCAAGAGTTCAATGTGACTAAATCCTCTTGGACCGTGACTTTGCAGAGATCATCAGTTGACCGAAATCAAAATTACGGCATTTCCAAGGCAAATCACTTATTCCAGACCATCTTCGTTATGTCCAAAACTTGACCTGTCGAGAGTCCGAACGGTCAAAGCCTTCGGTTTGAAAGGCCCCTCGGGCATGCTGAAACCGATCTTGGATTGTTGCCTTTGGCGAAAAGGTACAACCATTATACCAACATCTTGTCAAAAGCCCAGCGAAAATCCTCTGGTTTCCCACGGTCCCAAAATAATCCTGAGGAATAAGGGATGAACCCTTTGCTTGATCAAGGCTAGATGAGCCGCCTTACCCTTGTCCACTATAGATGTCTCCTATCACTCTTGGGATGTGGGAGAGGAGAATGAATAGTCAACAAATATATGGAAAGAGACATCAACCTATGCTTTGCGGTCCTACTCCCGCGCGTCTTTGCCGTCAGATGCATCCGCTTCAGATCTCTCTCTCTCTCTCTCTCTCTCTCTCTCTCTCTCTCTCTCT